GGATAACTTCTCTTTTGGATAGATTCCTTCATGGGACCTTCCTATAAGAAGGAGTCAAAATAAGAGAAAAAAACTTAGGAGTCTTCTAAAGAGTCACATACCTCTCAAAAGGGAGCCTTTCTCTATTTACCATAAGAAGGCTCCCCTCTCTCTCCACCTAGTATTCTCTCTCTGAAAATCCAAGAACAAAAAAATTCATATTGATGATTCAATAACTCTCAAGTCTTCCATCGAAGGTTGGGATTTGTATAATGCATATAACACTTTTAGTTATCGTAATTTAAAGTTGGCATAAGGCTTCCAACTCTCCACACATGTATCAACATCACTGATCTAAAATCTGTGTGATAAAATAATTTTATTAAATTTTTCATGCCATTGTTTGGGTGCTTGCTTCAGACCATATACGAATTTCACAAGTTTATAAACTTTGTGCTCTAGTCACTCAAAGATAAATCCCTCAGGTTGCTCAACATAAATTTATTTATCTAGTTCACCATAGAGAAAAGAAGTTTAGATATCCATCCGGTGAATTTCTAGATGGTATATAGAAGCCAAGGAAAAAAGTACTCGAATGGTAGCTATTTGTGCGACTGAAGTATAAGTGTCAAAGAAATCAACACCTTTTTGTTTAAAACTGTTTGCAACCAGTCTAGCTTTATATTTTCAATAGTACCATCTGTATTAATTTTCTTTCTGAAAAACTATTTACATCTTAAGGGCTTATGATTAGAAGGTAAATCCACCAATATCCAAGTATTATTTTCCAAGGATTTCATCTCATCGTTAATAGCATCCCTCCACAAAGGAGCATCACGTGAGGACATGGCATCTTGAAAAATTTTAGGATCTTCTTCCAAAAGATACATTTGAAAATCAAGACCAAAATCTATTGGTTCCTAATTCTCTTACTTCTCTCGGGTTCTAAATCCTCAAGGCTCCTATGCACATCAATCTTACGTTCATTGCATTGTTCTTCATATTCATTATCTTGCTTACCAATAAATGTGTGTTAAAAAAACTTTGCATCCCTGGATTCTATAATTACATTAAATTCCAAGTCCAACAATCTATACGCTTTGTTGTATTTAGCATAGCCCTCATAACCACACTTTACAGCTCTAGGTACAATTTTGGGCCATTTAAGAGCCTTACTTAGGCCGCACAACCCCAAACCTTGAGGAATCCTAAATGAGGTTTTCTTCCTTTCCAAAGTTCATATGGTATAGCATAAAATTTTAAATATAGTATCCAATTTAAAGTGAGCCTCTCCCCAAAGATTTGCATAGAGGTTTGAATTGATGAGCATGACATTCACCATATCCATAAGAGTGTGCGATTTTTCCTTTCAGCTAAACCATTATGTTGTGGTATGTATGGGGCAGTAACCTGGTGAATTATTCCATTTTCTTTACAGAGATTAGTGAAGTCAGTGGAACTATATTCACCACCTCTATCACTTCTAAAAACCTTAATTCTTATATTTAGCTTGTTTTCAACTTATGTTTCGTAAATCTTGAATTTTTCAAATACTTCATTTTTAGTTTTGATAAAATATACATAAATAAATTTTGAGAAATCATCTATGCAAGTGACAAAGTATTTCTTCTCACCACTGGTCTATAGGTCTCTCAAATCACAAACATCTCTATGTGTCAAGTCCAGTAGCTTGGAACTTCTTTCCACTTTAGAAAAGGGTTTTCTTGTGATCTTAGACCGTACAAATACGCCACACAGAGTCTTTTTAAATTCGTACACTTAGGAATTAGATCTAAATTACTCATTCTTCTTAATGATAATTAACATGACCTAATCTACCGTGCCATAAAGAAAATGAGTCAAGCATATACACAGAAGAAGATGTACTTGTTTCGTTATATATACTGAGCTTGAACATGCCTTCCGAGGTACACCCCATTCCTACAAAGGCTTCATTTTTTGATAAGATAAACTTGTTAGACTCAAAGACAAGTTTGAAACCCTTCTTGTTCAAAATGTATGCACACACCAAATTTTTCCGGACTTCAGGGGCTGTGAATTTTACTTCAACTATCCCTTTATCAAATACCTTACAAGATGAAGAATTGCCCATATAAAGGACAATATCCTCCCCCACAATTTCATAGGTCCTAAACGTTTTTGTTATTACAAACATGTCTGGTAGCTCTAGTGTCCGCCCACCATTTTGTAGTGCCCCCTAATGCATTTACTTAGGAAATCATAGCGACTAGTCTTTCTTCGCTCACATTAGCATGAGCCTGCTGTCTCATTCTGATTCTACAAAAAAAATTCATATGGTCGGCTTTGCCGCAAAAATTACATACCATGGGTTTCTTACCCTTATCCTAAGATGTCTTTGTATCTAAAGGTTTTGGGTCCTTCTTTTCTTCAAATTTTATTCCTCTTTCAATATTCGGCTTCTTCTTTCTCGGACGTTCTATTGCATGGGCTTTGACGACCATCTGAGACTTATATTCTTTCTTATCTCGGAGTCTGGTTTCCTTTCAATCCTCAGATGGGTCATCAACTGTTCAAGACTAAAGTCTTCTGACTTGTGCATCAAAGTGTTTCTATAGTCTTTCTAAGAGGGCGACAATTTATCAATTATTGCCCTGATATGGAATAACTCATCAAATTTCATGATATTAGATGCTAATTCATTGGCTATGATTTGGAAATCATGAATTTGAGCCAATACCGATTTTTCTTCTATAATTTTGAAATTTAAATATCCACTAATGAGATAGTTCTTTCTACAAGCATCTTCTACTTTATATTTGGCTTCTACAGCCTCCCAAAGTTCGTTTGCTATTGACCTTTCGGAGTAGAGATCAAATAATAGATCACTTAGTGTATTCAGAATATATCATATGTAATCATTTTCTTCCCATGCTTCAATTTCTTCATAAATCAAAAATATGATCTGAATTAGTCTGATCACCAGTATTTTTCGAGGGGCAATTGGAGCAACGAGACGTGCATTCCTTAGTACATACTCAACTTTTAAGGATTTTAGCGAAAATATGACTTTAGATTGCTATCTTCTGAAATTAATTCCTTCAAAACGAACCAGCATTACAAAATCCTAAGTCATTGCTTTCAGCAAGCTTCCAACGACCATTTCGTAATAGTTAAACACTTCAAAGTTGTTATTTCGAGATACTAAATATATCTAGGGTCTGGAGGGACGAGAGGAGTTCACTTTATTCAAAGTGTTTAACGCCCCTGACTCAATTAGAAAACCGATATGCAAACGGTACCAGCAAGAACACTCTCAAGATACAACTAGATCAACAAGAAATTCTTGAATTGCACGCTCAAAGATTAGGACAAAATCACATAACTACTAATCATGCTCCCTAAGAGTCGAATGCGGTCTCCTTTTTCTTAATTTTATTAAAGCTATTCTCTCCGGTATTTCGCAGGAAAAAAACTCCTTGTACTTACTCTTCTCTTTTTAATTTTAAAAGCATCCGTTTTTTTACTCTCTATTCCTCATTCTTCACTTCTTCTCTTTTATATGAAAGAGAGAATAAAATATTCAATATAATCTTAAATGAGATGAGGTGGTAAAAGAGAGTTAGCTAACGTGAAGGAGGTGAAAGAGTAACTAGCATAAAGCCACATCAATAGGACGTGGCATAAAACGAAACCAGGATAAAACGTGTGGGGCCCACAATAAGATGAAGAGATATTAATGTAAAAGAACAAGATGATGGTCCATAGAGACCATTAAATTAAAGTGGACCATCAAACAAAAGGAATAAATAAATGTTTTGAAACTAAAAACTTAAATTATCAATTAATTTAATAAACAATTCCAATTGAATATCCAAACACATTGGTTCTTCATCAAACTTAACTACATCACACTCTGGATCATGAGACTCCCGACATGGAGCATTGGTTTGGAACGAGTTCACAAAAAATAGCGCCCAACTCACTACCGTCATCATAATGTGTCGGAGCTGAATTTTGCACCAAGCGCTGGGTCAATTATTCCACTTGTTTTTTCAAATTTTCGTTTTCTATATCACGGAGGTCCTGCTTTCGCTAGATTGACTCATTCGTGACACCTTATTGTTGAAGACATCCATGAACCATGATGCCTTTTTGATGAGCGCCGCGATCGCACAAGAATCAAAGCTTTGATACCACCTAACGCAGTATAAAATTACCAGCGACTAACACCCGATAAAAATAACTATGTTTGGGAGAGAAATAAAAATAAAATAAAAAATTGTAAAGATCCAAGTGACATGCTATGAGCCCAAAAGTACAACAAGAAAGAAAGTACCCACAAAAAGGCCACTCTCGACTCTACACGATCTATAAAGATCGATTTATGTTTTACGAACCAAAAATCGTCGTTTTACAACAACCTCCTGTTCTATAACTTCTCCAACACCTTTTCCTCACGCAGCTTCCAAAAGATTACTACTCTTCCCCTTATGATCACAGGATAAGCAACGTCTAGCAGCTTGCACGTCCTTATCACAAGGACAAATCTTCTAAAACGCAATCTTTCCTAAAAATCAACTTTATCTCTTTAATAACCTAATTTATATCTTTTCTTGAAATAAATTCAAATCCATGTGCCTACTCACTACCCACAAGATAGGAATCCCTTTAAGTTTAAAAGACGATTAAAATAAAAATACGCTAAAAATAAAGAAAAGATATTTCTTAAAATAAAAACATTATCAAACTAACCCAAAACAAATTCTTATTAATCCTATTTTTAAAAATTCATTCTAATAAAATAAATAAAAAATCTACCCACTTTCTTAAAAAAATTAAAATATAAAAAATAAAATTAGATTATGAAGCAACCCGTTTTTTATCTACATCACTTGTATCAGTTTTCATGGTATCTCTAAGCAGTTTTCATGGTATCTCTAAGTAGCCCACTCTCTTGCAGGTTTTCCTCAGTTTTCATGGTATCTCTAAGTAGCCCACTTTCTTGCAGGTTTTCTTTTGAAGAAGAATGGGGTTGAATAAGGATAGTGAGAGATTACTCTCCGGTTCTTTAATATCCTAAGTGTGAGCTTTCTGCAAACTTGGGTTTAGAGTGTATTTCAAGTCAAGCTCAACAGTATGCAATCTCTTCTCATCTGGAATCGTATCTTCGCTTAGTTTATCCAGCAGGTTCATACCAAGATTGTTATTTCCATGTTGCAGCAACTGTAAATTTGTAGATCGATCGGTGAGAGCAAATACAGATATCTATGGCAAGCGAGATCAACAAGATTTACAATTTCAATTTATTTTTAAGTTTATGATTCATCGAAACCGCTGCTTAACTAAAATCAGTTGAAACAAGTGCATGTCTGTGTGATTTTTAGGGGGTAGAGAGAAAGGAAGGGGGAAAATATTTACAGGAAGCTGCAAGGAGAGCTCAAATTGTGATCCATGCCTATCAGAAGCAGTTGAAGCCTCATGCGATCTATTTGTGAGCATAGTACTATGAGCAATACTCCTTCCAAAAATTGACTGATCCATGGATATAACAATGGAGCTTTGACAAGAACCCACGACATTTGATCGAGCTTGGCCAATTCCACTCAAAATTCAGAGGAATTTGCCTATGAATGTTGGGGTATCTTCTCTCTTCTATCCTTCATTCCTTACCCAATTCCTGTCTCTCTCTGAATGTTGGGGTATCTTCTCTCTTCTATGCCGTGGTTTAACCTAAAAGGCCCACCAGAGGTGGCTGCTCCCTTATTGCAAGCCACTCTTGCATTGACCTCTTGCCATTCTCTCTGAACACTGTATTTTGTATGGCATGAAAGCTTGATATCGATGCCCCATGATTATCACCTATATACCTTGGAATCCATATGGTTTGAATACCCAATCATGCTGCCTTTAAAGACCAAATGAGAAAAAATGAGATTGGGCCTAGAGAGAGAGAGGTTCTGCAACCACAATAATGCAAAACATGAGAGAGTTGGTCCTTTCTGAATTACTGCTGCATCTGCAGACTGCTGCCTCTTGCGTAGTAGTGATCCTCCCCCGGTATCAGCCTGTCCAGCTGCGATGCGACTGTGTAAAACACGAGCACCAACCCCAATTTATCAGAAATAATACAACAGAGAAGAAGAGAATAACCAAATATGATTCCTCTTTAGCTTTTACTCATGGGAAACATAGATCATTAGCTAGGGTTTCTGTAAACTGTTGAGCAACTCGTTTTAATGTCAAATGATCTCTTCTTATTCTTCTTATTATCTCTCTAAAATTGCACTGTATTTCCATGTTGCACTTTTCCATTGTATGAGATTGTTTGTTAGACGTTATGAATTTAAAGTGTCCTTTTTATCTTAGGAAATGGTTGAATTGTTTTTTTTTCTTTGTTAAAAAAGCAAAAGGAAAAGGAAAACTTTCAAGTGCCTCACCTTGCCCAGAATCGTCCACCTTCTTGCTCCTATAAATCTGAAACCCGAAAAACCCGAAATCAAATTTTATTAGAAAAATTTAAAAAAACCAGCCTTTTAGCTTCACACTAAAAAGTCTAAGAACCAAGATCTCTTCACTTAAACGCCCTCAAGATGATCCAAGCATTCTCATACCAGCACATGTTTCACATTCATCAGCTGTAAAACCAACTTAGGCGTTGCTCCTACACCACCAAAAAAAATTTTAATTAATTACAAATAATTATCTGAAATGTATCAAACATTCAATAAGATTCTACGCAAAAAAACCGATCATTTATCTTTTTTAAAATTTTTGAGATCTCACTTTTTTATTGGTAGATATACAAATTTATAGTACACAAGTTCTGTGATCACTCACTATCTTGGGCTCCAAGTCTCTCTACCGCTTGGACAAAGCAAAGATGTAGATCAGGTGTCCATTGAAGCCAAGGCATTTTCGATCTCACGTATTGCCTCAGCGCTCCAGTCGTTGCGGGTTTCATGTTCTCTCTTCGACCCAGCTTTCCGAATTCCGGTCGCAGGAATCCACTGACCTCTTTCTGGAATATGCTGGAAACCTCTCTCCAGAATCATCGTTGCTACTGCTTCCACTTCTCTCTTCTCCGAGCTGCATTGCATTAAACCTGAGAGCTATTTGCCGGAAATTTGATGGGAATTGCCGGTAAATGGCCTTCTTCCGGCCATTTGAAAGGAAGGGAAAGAGGAGAGAGAGAGTAGGAGGCAAGCGGTAGAAATAATTAATAATTAAAAGGTGGGCTAATGAGTATATGCTCCATTGACTGTTCTTTGCAACAAGGGAGTGGGATGGTTGAATTTGGATTAATAGGAGGATGGGTGCATGAATTGGGCCATGACTCATGGAGAAATATCGATATTGCCCTTTCTATATGGTTCGAGGATTAGTGTTTGACCTTTGTGACCTTGTAGTAGCAATATTTTTAGAAATGACTAAACCGCCCTTGTTAACTTTGAAAGGTCGATGTCAAGACAAGAAGAACACCCCACTAGGGCATGGGCCCGAACCCATTTGAATCTGGAGTTCTCTCTATCAAATTCCAATAAATCCTTGAAGACAACACTCAATAGAAATATTGGTTGCTAGGTTGTTTTGCAAGTAGTATGGCATTTGATAGACTAGAATGACAGAATAAAACACGTGTAGCCAATCCCAGGTTAGAACAGAAATGAAGATGATGAGAAAGAATTTTCATGCAAGTAATACACTTGTATTCTCTCTTTATATGTGTAAGTTTGAAGTCCTCAAGTAATGGGTACTCAGCTACTAAAAAAGGCTTTCGAGTTTTCCGGGGTGACGTTTGAATTCTTCAAGTAATGGGTACTTAGCTACTATAGAAGGCTTTGGAGTTTTCCGGGGTGATATCTTCACCCCTAAAAAACTTGTGGCCTTTAATAATTCTCTTAAGAAAATACATGGTGGTGATTGGAACCCTCCGCCAGAGAGCTCCTTAAAATTCAACTCCGATGGAAGCTCTCTTAGAAATCCAAAGAAAACGGGTATAGAAGGGATCTAAAGGAATCATGAAACATATCTTATGCTAGACTCTATAGGCTGGCAACTACAAAGTTTGCAAAAATGAGTGCTCTCCTACAAGGCTTGGAGATCATTCGAAGTAAAAGGTCTAATGGGGGCTATCTTAGTAGAGGGAGACTCTTTAAATGTTATTAAATGACGTAAAAAAAGACAAAGGGTTCTTTAGTCTCTTGGACATTTCTTCAAGAACCGGTCTTCACCTTTTATTTGATCTAACCTTACAGATCGACTTGCTAATTTATCTTCCTTGTACGCTCCTTATTATTTAATTTCTTCTATGTAACTCTATGCTACTACAGTCTTTATCAATAAACGTTACTTGATCTTCTAAAAGAGAAAAAAAATAAGGAAAAAAAGAAAAAGAAAAGGAAAGAAAAGAGAAGAGAAGAGAGGTTCACGACCACCGGTCGAAATGAAGGCTTCCATGCAAGTTCGATACCTTTCAACTTTGGGGTCGTTCAGATATTTCCAGAAAACTCGGGTGCGTTAAAGAAAAAGGTCCACCACAGTCCCTGTGTTTATTTACCATATATAGTAATGAAAATAATAATATATTGGGACTTCCTTTTTCCTGGACTTTATCTATGTAAAAGAGTTGAAGATAGAGAGAGGGGTTGGGAAGTGGGAGATTAAAAGGTTTGTGGAGTTACTGAAGAAGAAGTGCTAAAAATAACTACATGAACTCAAATTTTGTACTAACAAAAAACAGTGAGAAAATTCACAAAACTCACTTATTTGCTTGGCTGTAAATTCCTGTGTGTAGTCCCAAGATGAAATTGAGATGAGAAATACAGTTTAAAAATGGACTCATGTATGACTTCTGGAACAAAGACAACAAGCAAGAGAAAAAACAATTCAGAACATAGGTAACAAAATATGGCCCGAGGCCGGGGTTGGGCCAAGACTGGCCCATCCCGGTCCACCTTATTTGGCCCTTATCTTTCAATCTTTGTTTTCCTTTAATTTTACTTGGCCCGGCTCAGGTTTCCAGCCCTAGAGAGAGAGGGGGGTCTCTCTCCATTACTGGATGATGGAGGGGTAAGCAACTAGGGGAAAAAAATATATATAAAAAGTGTTTTGCCCATTGACGAGAAATTCCATGAGGGTGGTGTTTTTCTCCTTCTTTTGAGTAATGTGAGGAGGGGATTTGAGATGAACACGTGAATGTTGTAGCTTTTGGTGAATCTTTCGACTTGTCGGTGTTCGTTGTAAATATTGTAGAGAGAGAAAGAGACTGTGTTTTTTTAGAGAGAGAATGAAAGACGGATGCTTTAATGTGCCGGCTGGGGTGATGAGAGAGTAAACCCCCCATCTAATTCTGTGCAGCGTGCCCGTGAGTAAGCCCTTCTCATTGAGAGAAAGTAAGCCTTTGGGTGTGGTTTCTATAAGGCTGCAACCTTAAACAATCCAATTAAGGTGCACCTTTAAAGTTTATCATAATATGTAATTTTGATGTAATAAATTGTTAGGTTATCTGAAAATCTATTTGCATTCTAATTATAAAAAGTTATACTTCAAAAATAGCTAAAATCAAATAGATCTATAAACATATGAAAATCTTGAAAATTGACGGTCTAGATAATATTTTACAGGATGCACTATTTTTGGGACTCAAAATCTTTTTTTTTCATATTCATATATCTCGATATCGAGATGATCAACAAGAGTGTTTTTCAATATTAAAACAACATTTTCCGATGGATTTTTGAGGTGTATCTATAATTCTACATTTTAAGGTTACAACCTTATATAAACTTTTTCCTTTATTTTTTTGTTTGTGTGAATGTATATTTGTGGATATGGAAGTCTATGTTAGAGAGAGAGAGAGAGAGAGGGATTATATGCCAAAAGATAATTTACCGTTGATACAAAGAGATCACAAGTACTTATAGCCTGGTTTTTGAAGTACAACCATTGCACGAGATCACTCCCCTTATCTATATATATAGATATACATATAGGGGAAACGTTTACATAAAGTTACGACTCTAAATAATCAAAATAAGGCGCAATTTCAACTTTGTTGTAAGATACAATTTGGGTTTCAAAACTTTTTAAGATAGTACAAGAATCTACTTTTATCTCACGTTATAAAATTTTAAACTCTAAAAATAGTTCAAATCAAATAGATCTATAAAAGCACAAAAATCTTGAAAAATGACAATCCGAAAAATGTGTTTCTATATATACAATTTTTTAGACCTAAAATCATTCCTTTTCCCACATTCATACATCTCGATTTCGAGATGATCAATTAGTTGGTTTTCCAACCTCAAAACAGCTTTTTCCGGGTTTATGAGGATCACCTTTTTACAATTTAAGGTGTCAACCTTATATGAAAGTTTTGTAATAAATAGCCGTATAATAAGTGGAGCGGTTAAAAATGCAGTATGGTTTGCTAATATAAATTTACTCGAAAACATACCTCTCTGCCTATTTATAAATATACGCTTGACCCATGGCGTGGAAAAGACTCAAATACCTTCTTGACCTATTCAATGTTTAAATTATTTTTACAAGAATTTCTTGGAATTCATTCGAATATGACGGTCATGGTGAGTTCAAGATTGAAGATCACTCCATCTTCAATCATGGGTATTATTAATATTTCTCCCAGATTCATCATTAATTTGGGTTGCCTCTGCTTTCAAATGTTTATTCCACATGGTAGGCAAGAAAACTACTCTAAAAATTTATTGTTCATTCTCTCAAATTCTATGCATGATGTAAACAACAACAATACTTATCTCTTCCCATATAAACATCAATTATGCCTCCTCTATCAATTTCACATAGAAACATTCTCTTGTCAATGGAATTTTTTATTCTAACAATTGCCATCTTCCTATATATGTTATATATTTCTATCCTGATACTTACCAATTACCAACCATGTTTTGTTAATAATGTTGCAAGGATGCAGTTTTTATAAGGCCTAGGCTTTATGAAAACAAAGCAAAGCCTCACCATGAATCCTTGTCCGAAAAGTACTTGGGTATTGTCTATGATGTTTCTAAATCAGTTTCAAACACTGAATATGAAATTTGAAGCTAGAACAATGGCACAGATCTTGCGGATCTATGAACACTTATTTTTAGAGAGAAATAGACAGTCTAGATGTATTGCAATATACATTATTTTTAGGGATTGAAATCCTAATTTTCTTCACAACCATAATAATTAAGAACAAGATGATTGATTTAAAGGTTTTCCGATGCTAGAACTGCAGTTTTGGTGAGTTTTGAGGTGAAGCCTGACTGCAGCCCTATCAAAACATTTTTCCTTCTAGAAATCCTTCCTCTACAAGCCCATAATAATAAATTAGACATTATTTAACATCAAGAATAGAAAATATAGATGCACACCTACATATAGATCATATCTTTATCAAATTCAAATTCATCAATTTTTCTAAAATGAAATTCGAGATTACAAATTGACCTTTTTTTGAGTAAACTATTAAATATAAATTGACCTAATAGTTATATAGCCCAACTCTTCTTCATGCAGGCATACTACACTTATCGAATCAAGATCTGACCATATTGTGCTTTTTTATTCATTTCTGCCGAATAATCCTGTGGCCTATGTGCAATGGCCTAAGGAGGACCACAATGACGATCATGGCGATTTCTATTATGTCATCGTCATGGCTATAATCACCATCTTCATCATGGCATCAGTGATTAGTTAAATATTTATTCTAAGTAAAATCAAAAGTATCTTGAGGGGAAAAAAAAAAAAGTATTGTTAATGAAAAGATTGCCAATGTTGAAGCGGTTTTAACTAAGGAAGGAAAAATACCACCACTCTGTTAGTGAAATTATCATATAATTACCAACTGCCTACTTGCAAGAAGCCTCCCCTTTTTTTTCATTTGAGGCGGCCCTAAAGTTTTATCATATTTTTTCCATTTGCCAATTTTCGTTTTCCAAGATATGACCACTTTAATTTTCCATGTCCATGTGTGCCCTAACTCATGTAATCTCTCTGTCTTTCTCATTTTCTTTCACGCAGGAGAGAAGTTGCAGAACCCTCTCCCACCTCAGAAAGCACACCGAGGAAGACAAATCAGAACCAGGAAATCACTCCCTCTGATATTTTTGGCCACCTGAAATTATCTCCGAAAGAATCATGCCGGTAGCTTCAACCATCGGCCGTGAGGAATGCCAGCTACGGTTTTGG